CTCTTCCTCTTCCTCCTCCTCCTCCTCCTTCTTCTCTTCTTCTCTTCTTCTTCTTCTCCTTCTTCTTTTCTTCTTCTTCTTCTTCTTCTTCTTCTTCTTCTTCTTCTTCTTCTTCTTCTTCTTCTTCTTCTTCTTCTTCTTCTTCTTCTTCTTCTTCTTTCTCATGTTCCTAAAAACTAACATATGACTTAGGAACAAATCTCTGATGTGGTGTGCTCACTTGAGTAGGGTAATGCTGAAGAAGCTTTGTAGCTTTTTATGAGGAGAGACCCACATTTTCAGGTACCCTGCCCATAGAAGCTGGTGCTGTGGATTTGTGAATACACTACTTATTAAGTAACTTAAATAACTTAATATTAATGCGTATCAGAGATGATACATTATAAATTGGAACTTTATGTCAAATTGAGGTTTATGTCACATCTTCCCCCCCGAAAAAGGAATTGTTTACATGTTTGACTGCTGTCGCTAAAACAAAAAAAGCCAAAATCAAAATATATCCCCCTCTTCAGTTAATGATATTCCCTCTTTTCCCAGGAGTACGACCAGAGCGTCTATCTGTCTTTGATGAAGAATGTTGGCAGCTTATGGAAGCCAGTTGGGATGGAGATCCGTCCCGGCGCCCACTTCTGGGCATAGTCCAACCCATGTTGCAGGGCATAATGGACAGACTTTGCAAGTCAAACTCTGAGCAGTTAAGCAAAGGTTTAGATGATTCTACTTGAAACCAAGCTATGGGGGAGCTGTTCTGTTGTGTGAGAACTCGGATTCCCCACCTTGTCAACAGCAACTCAAGGTGTAGCTCTTCTGGAGAGCCCAATCAGAAATTGCACTCTCAGGTGAGAGGATATTGAAATTCCACCTCATATAGCAGCCAGAAACCTTCCATTCCAGTATACACTACTAATGCAAACTTGCAGTACTTCCCTCATTTTTTAAAAGATAATGCAAAGATGAGGGATTAAAACCTGAAGGGGTATTTTGATTACTCCTTTTGGGCACCAGTAAAAATAATACACAGTGTTTCAGTAGATTGGCAGCTAGTACAGCTGAGACTTTTGAGAATCCTCTTCTCCATCTACACTCTGTTACAGAAGCTTACCGGAAAGTCATACAAGATGAATGTGGATGAACAGAAGAAATAAGGGTGGGTAACTGCTAACTACAGAGCATGGACTGAAAGGTGTGGATTCAGTAATTTCCCATAATGCTTGGTATGTTTACATGGCGGGATCAGAGCATCCATATTCTTCTTCAGGGGAAGCCTCCACTGCGATGGAAATACCCTAACAGTATAAGCTATCTGTTCTTTGTCTTGTCAGCCAAGCTCTCTTCTGGTAAATGCTTAACAGTAGTTCTTGGGAAACATGAGCAAAGATGGTCTTTTTATTTTTTGCAGTCTGACAGTGAGATGGGTATACCACCAAAAGACTTCACACCTACAAAGACAGAAACACAAGTTGCTAGCAACTAACCATGGTCTGTACCCAGCAAACTTCCAGTGTATCATGTTTTAACTACAGTGGTTTTCTTGTTTTGAATTAAGTGCAAAGGCAATGACTGTTTTAAACTCTGCTCTAATATTGACAGACACTTTTAAAGATAAGTTGAGCTGTATATTTTATGTCATTTCCTTGAAGAGGACCCAAGAGAAACCTGTTGTGATTCCATAGGCATGCATGGTTGCTGTGTCTGTTTATCATTTACTTCCTTGGAGTTTGTCATTTGGCTGTGCTAATCTAGGTGTTTGTTGCAGGGAGCATTTGGCGAAGGAAGTCCAGAGGCTTCTGAAATGGGCTCCTTCTTACATCCCTGACTAGGTTCTTGTGCGCGTGTTTATGTGTGTGCAAGAACTAGTTTCTTGTTGCAGCAATATTTTAAGTGGAGTGTAGGTTGAACTAGTGAATGCACCTGAGATGGCTGAGGAAAGGGACCAATTGCCAGTGTTTCACCGGGTGCTTGGAAGATGGGATGTGACTATATTCTCCCTCCTGCACGCAGTGGGATGTGCACTGGTTCGATCTTTATGGAATAATCTAGGGTGTGCTGAGCAAAGCTGATCAGTCTTGTAACATACAATATTTTGCTTCTGGAGTTTGCTTAGTAGTACAAAGCAGATATGCAGCTTTGGCCTGTTTACATTAGTGGAAAACCACTAGACAAAAGTAACCCTGCAATGATACTTAGCAGCCTAGATGAACCCTTCTTTGTGTGTGCAATAAAGTTAAAACCATGCTTTTAAAATGATTGCTTTCCTACTTAATGGGCATTCATTGTTATGTGGTGGTCTAAACCATATAGGCACTTACATCCACACACTGTAGCATCTAGCAACTTGAACAACTGCCAGCCATACTCACAAAAAAGCACATATTTTCTCAAATAGGAAGTCCTAAGAAAGGCACTGTCATGTATCTGGGCCACTGTTCCCATCACTTAACAGTATTACTCATGTTCATATTCATTTTCTATTATGGTGGCTAGTAACCTTGTTTAGAATTGGGAGGACCTAGGTCAGTGTTTTTGAAAGTATAGAAATAGTTTATGTGAAATAAAATGAAATAAAGTGCTTTTGAAAATGTCTTGTATAGCTTTTCCCAAGTAGCAACTTCCTTATTCTTTACCCTGTGCCTTTTAAATACTGATTCAATGTACTGTGTCTTGGTTTCACTGGGGCTGTGTTTCTTTACAAGTACAAACTTGGCCTCTCGCACCTTCCCTACCCAATATACAGCCACACTGAAAGCATATGTTTAATTTTGGAGTAGATTTCACAGCCCCTGACTTGCCCCACAGTAAGACACACAGTTTTGTTAAAACATGGAGCCTTATTCCTATTGGCAGTACTATAGATAAGTTTATATGTTAAAGCTTGGAATGAAAATGGACACTAAATGTTTTCACAGCTGCAGCTAGCTGTAGGGGTAAACTAAGTTGTGGCTACTAGGGCTGATAGGAGAAATGGCTGTATCCTATATTGTAAAGTGGGCCAGTGATGAACACAGAGCTGCAGTCACTCCTGTTATACTCTTGAGTGTCTTTACAAAACTAGTAATTGGAGGGGATCTGTCAAAGGTATAACAGCAGGTCTTTTTGAAAGCCATTGTTGCGCCCAAGTGTAGTTTGATACATTGTGCATGCACTGCAAATTACCCATTCTTCCACTTCACCCCCCTTCAAATCATTTTGTTAAAATCTAGATTTCACCACCCACTTTGTTCTTGGACTCAGAAGAAAATTGTTTACTGAATTGTACTTAATGCAAGGTTTACATGTTGCCACAAACTTGATGGCTAAAGTAGGTGCTCCAAAAGACGGTTTCTCTAGTGAGCTGGAATCCTGATAAATCAAACTAGTTTACAAAACAAGTATACCTGCAACATGAGAATGGAGAGAGATGAAAGCATCCATACTGGTGCTAGTACCTGATGGCTCAAAGATGGAGCTGTTCAAAGCTGACCTATTATCTGAATACTTTGATTTCTGCTTTGGAGGGTATATCCATTTGGGGTCTGAACAAACACTACATAGGAGCAGCATGAGCTAAAGCATGGCTTGACTGCAATTTCAGGCTGCACTGCTGGAGTGCTGACCTTGGCTTGCTGTTGCCTATCATGTCACTGTCTAGTGAACAAGATGGTAAAGGTTCCCTTGATCGAAAGCCAGTCGAATCCGACTCTAGGGTTGCGGTGCTCATCTCCGTTTCAAAGCCGAAGAGCCAGCCAGCGCTGTCCGAAGACGTTTCCGTGGTCATGTGGCCGGCATGACTAAACACCAAGGCGCACGGAACGCTGTTACCTTCCCACCAAAGTGGTACCTGTTTATCTACTTGCAATTTCTTGCTTTCGAACTGCTAGGTTGGCAGGAGCTGGAACTAGAGATGGGAGCTCATTCCATCATGCGGCACCCGGGTCTCGAACTGCTGAACTACTGACCTTCCACAGCCTGCAGTTCAGCGTCTTAACCACTTGAGCCACCGCAGCTCCGAACAAGATGGTAGGAAGCTTTTATTGGGCAACTGACAATATTTTTTGTCCATCTTAACTACTTAGGAGGGTTTACTGGCTCTACAATGCAAGTTTTTCTAGCTTGTCTAATTAAAAAGCAAGCTATTCTATATTTATCTTTTTATAGCACTTTTGTTATGTTAGTCCTTCTTGCTCCTCCCTCCTTGGCAGTGTTGGGGGAGGGGACACTTGAATGTTGGCTCTTACAGGGTGACAGACTTTAAAAGAAGGGGTAGCAACTTTACAGCTTTATTTAACATGGCTCTTTGCCATGCTCCTTTTTCTTTTAAGAGGTGTACATAAGCTCTGACTGTACAGGCCTAGCTGGAGGTCATCCCTTTTTCTTATTTTTAAAATCTTTAGTAGTATGAATTTTTTTGGCTCTAAGATGAGGACAAGAGCACATCTGCATTTGACACTCCTTTTGGGGGAGGGCGTAAAGAGCACTGCATTTCTTAAACTTTTAACCTTTCCTCCTTCTGGTCTGGTTCTGTTAAACTGATGGTCAGCTGTTACATTTTGGCTATTGAGAAAGACAGAAACATGATAAAACAGTTGTACAGTTCCATTGTAATGCCTATAGATTTTGTACTACTTTTTAATTTTTTAAAAAAACTGATGTATATTAAAGTTAAAGGTAACAAAACTTACCAACTGTATAGGAAAAGTGCAATAACATGGAAAATGAAATGATTAAGAACTACTTCCCTTGTATTCTGTAATACTGATTTCCTTTCATCTGCCGCCCCTTCCCCGCCATTACATGTATTTTAAGAGACGTGACTGTGGGTCAAGACTTCATTTAGTGCCATAATGAGAGTCTGTTTTAGTAGACAGAATACACAAATGCTGTGCTGTATAATAAAGACTGCATTAATGTTTTATGATTCTTTGCCTTTTGTTCTTCCAATATATGCAATAGGAACATTCCACAATTCTTGATGTGGCACCCCTGTGAAGCCTATTTGAAGGGGGGTAAGAAGGGAGGGAGAGAGCACCTATTAAATGGGCATTCTACATTGCAACAGATAGCTGAAAAAGTGCTGATGAAGCGGCAGCTTTTCCTCCTTCGTGGCAGTGGGGTAGTTATGTTGTCTTATGTGTCTGTCAGCCTCTCATTACAAAAGCAACTGCTAAATTTGTGTAAGTGAGCACCAATCCCAACCAATTCTGTATACCTTTAGGATAGTGGAGAAATGAACAGCCCCAACCACCATGTGCTCTTCCAGCCTAGATTCTCTTCGCCCTGCTTCTCTCTCCTGCCCCCCAGTGTCTGCGAATGTATTGGCATCTGTTGATAACTAACCCCTGTTGCTGTGCTGGTAAGATGCTTGAGTTGACATTTATATTCTACCCTCAATGCTTACAGGGTGGTGTTGAGGTGCATATCAGTGGGTTATAAAAGTATTGCAGCAAAGTTGAAATAGAAGTGGCTGGCCCCTAAAAGAGCATGTTAATGTGTTAACCCTTTCTTATAAGCACGGAAGCTGAAAAAACATGGAGAAGCCATAGTAATGCACTCCAAAAGTGCCTGTGTGAAACTCCCTTATAATAAGAGAATGCCCAGTGTGTCTCTGAATAAAGCTCATGAGGCTACATACATAGATATGAACGAAAACTCTTTACTACAAGTAGCTTGACAAAATCATTTTTAACAAAAATCCTTTGGAAATAATTCCAGAGTACAAGATTTTCAAGGCTGCCCTAGGTGTCACAGTGCTTGATTACTAGAAATTCAGCTTTAAACTTAAAGGCCAATTGGCCATGACAGCAACAAGTTTGTGTACCAGCCAGATTTGCTGCCAAGTTGCTATAAAGTAGAGGATAACATTTATTTCTGGGACCTAAATTTTCCCCAGCAGCCTTGGGAACTAGCAGTCACAAACTGTCAGTTTATATGAAAATTATAGTGTTTTAAAGCTGGTCTGTAGTATTTACAGAGGAAATTCTTTCCTCCACTGGTTTTCCAAGGAAGACTACCACCCTCCACTTGCCCTGCAAAGGGAAAATACACAAGTTTCCCAGGAAGAGGTATAGAGTCAATAGCAAGCTCTTTTCCATCAGCCAGGGTGCATGTGGGTGCATGGAGAAGGAGATGGGAAAGGGTGCTGGTGCTGGTGCTGTTTCTCCATTCAAAGCAAGCATGAGTGTGTGGATCTGCCACCTCCACCTTTGCATGCAAGAGAGGAGAGAAGATGCTGTGGTACCTTGTAAAGGGAAGGATAAGAAAGTGATAAACAACAGCATTGGAGGGAGTGGGGAGCGACTTGTCCTTTTATCCCATGATTTTTGAGCTTACTTAGGAGCCTTTGATGAGGAACTTCATCAAAAGCTTTCTGGAAGTCAAGGTAAACAATATCTATTGGATCCCCCTCGTCCACATGTTTGTCCACCCCCTCAAAGAACACTAACAGGTTAGTGAGACAAGATCTTCCCTTACAGAACCCATGCTGAATCTGCCTCAATTGGTTTTGTTCATCTATGTGCCTACTAATTCTTTCCTTAATAACGGTTTCCACCAATTTACCCGGTATCGACGGCAGACTGACTGGCCTGTAATTTCCCGGCTCTCCTCTGGAACCCTTTTTAAAGATGGGAGTGACATTAGCTACCTTCCAATCCTCAGGAATGGAGGCAGATTTTAAGGAAAGATTACATATTTTTGTAAGATTTCCACCAATTTACCCGGTATCGACGGCAGACTGACTGGCCTGTAATTTCCCGGCTCTCCTCTGGAACCCTTTTTAAAGATGGGAGTGACATTAGCTACCTTCCAGTCCTCAGGAATGGAGGCAGATTTAAAGGAAAGATTACATATTTTTGTCAGGAGATCCACATGTTCACATTTGAGTTCTTTCAGAACTCTCAGATGTATGCTATCTGGGCCTGGTGATTTATCCGTTTTTAAGTTGCCTATCAGTTTTAGGACCTCCTCTCTCGTCATCTCAATCTGACTCAGGTCTTTCAACACCCCTCCTGAAATCAGCGGTTCTGGAGTGGGCAAGCACTTCTCATCTTCCACAGTGAAGACAGAGGCAAAAAATGCATTCAGCTTCTCAGCCATTTCCCTATCATCCTTCAGTACTCCTTTTACCCCTTGGTCATCCAAGGGCCCCACTGCCTCCCTGGCTGCTTTCCTG